TCCTGATGGATGGAGGCGGTATATTATTTAGAGGTTTATGTGGCCGATCCCGAGAGACGGAGTTATTGCTAGAGGGTCTTGGTTCTTCTTGACCGTGGATGAGATTTATGTACGGATACGGCGTTCTGAGGCTTGGATATATCAAGGCGTTAGTTGCATCTCCTTGGACAGGCGTTTAGATACCCAATCTTATTCTCTTACTATAAACTAAGGAATCCTCACTTGCTAAACTATTTTATCATGCGGACAGGTGAAAGCATGGTCTTCACGCAGAAAGTAAAGCACGCACATTTTGATGAGTTCAGTCAAGTTTGCATTCTTTACTCCTCTCTCTCTTGTTGCTTCTATACAATCTTCATTTCCTCCACACAATCGCTAATCGCTAATCGCTAATCGCTAATTTTCCCGCTACTTGTTGCGCGCTGAAAAAGACCCGGCTTGCTGAGGCTAATGCATACACCCACTTGTCTCCTCTGTCTCAATTTCATGAGATACAACCACGAAAACTACCCTTTCACATGCCGAAAAACACCCATTGCTCTGCTTTCACATTGGAAGCCGATGAACTCAACGCAAAAACAGAGATACATAAAATACATAACAAGAAGGCTAGGAAAGAAGGGTAAGTTGTAAGTGTGAAGGTAAAACAGCACAATGGCTTCAAAAGAGTAAAACGAACAAAAGATTTAGAATTACTCTGATTGATGTAGAAGCGAACTGAGAAACAAAAGACAAAAAACGGGAAACTTTGGGTATCGTGCAGAAAGGTATGGTAGCCACAGTTATAACACCCGTGTGCGCAACTTTCTGTGTTGCACGGTGTCAAATATCCAATCAGCCCTAGAAAACACCCACATAAATTCTCCCCTTTCCAGCTCCGCGTTGGCTGTCGAAGCGGACACACTTCGGAAGATGTAGCTGTGGACATCGAAGTGTAGAGTAGTTGGAAAGTTGACAAGGCAAGGAAACATTCGTGGCAGGGTCGTAAAGAAGGGTGTTGAGAGAACCAGTCTCTTCCATGCCCTCTCTTCTCTTATAATAAGATGAGATAGTTGCTGGGCGCGATACCCGTCTCGCCGTTTGGTTTCTTAGCCTGCCACCACCGTCCGCTCACGTCCGAGACTTCGAGGATGTCGTGTTTTTGGAAGCTAATCTCATTCGCGTCATCTGGGTTGGCTTCGTAGCTGTAAATGGCCTTGGCGCGGTACGGGTACTCTATGGAAGCTTCTTGCTGGTTGTTTGCGTCGTCGTTTGTGGGAGTCGAGACGTTGTTATTCATGCCGCCGAATTGGGGGGCTGAGCTGTTGCGGCCGTTTGCGCCGACGGGACCGCCGGGGTAGCCGGAGACGGGCGACGAGGTTTCGAAACCGTTTAGTTGGGCGGAGGTGTACATTTGCGGCGGGATGTTGGCGGTTTGGGTTTCGGGCCGGTTGGTGTAACCGTTGGAGATGGGGCGGGAGGAGCGCGAGCCGGGGTGCTCCTTGTGCAGGGCGTAGGAGTCGACGAAGGCGCGGTGGCTGGCTTGTGGTTGCGAGCCGTAGTAGAAGATCCAAACGATCTGGGCTTGTTAGTTGGAATTGGTGGTGGGCGTGTGCTGGCATGACTTACGGCGATCATGGAGAGGAGGATGTAGCCGGCTGCCGCGGCTTCAAAGGGAGCGACGGGTGAGTAGACGAGCGAGTTGACGGATGAGGTGGTGAAGACCAGGCCGGCGGCAAGGAAGCCCACGATCTGCTGGAATTAGCAAGTGCGTTCGCATGGTATGCCGTGGCGGCTACTCACTGCGACATGGTACGTCCTCTCGGCATCCGAGGCGACTGTGACGGTGACGCCCGCAATGCAGAAGAACATGAAGACGAGCGTCCACCAGGCGAAGTTGGGGAAGCCGCCGTGGATGGCTGATATTATGGAGCTGACAAAGGCGATGACCCAGGCGAGCTGTATACAACGTTAGCGACCACGCCCGCGACTGCCGCGTACTCCGGACTACTCACAATGCCAATCGATATCGTGGCCAGCGCAAAGGGATCCCCGATGATGCGGCTCATGCTGAAGCCCTGGGACCTCTGGCCGTAGCCTCCGTTTTCCATTTTGCGTAGTGAAGGAGAGCCGCCCAGCGAGCCGTAAGCGGGCATGTGTTGGTGGAAGCGGCGGGGAAAGGGGCGATTAAGCTATGCTGTCGCGGGCGCAGGAAGAGCAGGAAAGAGCGTGGGTGCCCGATGCGGTATTATGGGTGAATGTCGAGAGTCAAAGAGAGTGAGTGATGTTCGTGGGCGTGGGCGGTTGGGCCAGTATATCGGCGCGTTGGTGGAGTTGTGCAGGGCAGCGAACGGTGCACAGGGCGCAAGCAGCGGGAGGCGGGCGTCCAGTGACCAGCAGTGTTGGTGGGCGCGCAAGGCTTCTGCGACTCTGGCGGCTGCGTGAAGTTGGATTATGGCAGCAGGCGGTGGGTGTCGGGGGAGGATTACGGGCGAGGGCGGGAGCAGAGCGAGAGATGCGACGGTTTCACCTTGGGTTCCCAGTAGTTCTCGATTGGCCGCGCCGGCTGGAATGGCTAAGGGTTGTTCGGGGATTGCAGCGCTGCGGGTCCCACTTGTGCAGAGATTAAAATGGCACCGCGCCCGTCAGCCAAAGGCCTGGACAGCTGCACGCGCGTTTAGTGCATTAGTGCCTTTGGTGGCCGTCGAGCCGCCGTACACAGACAAGTCTACGTTGTTTTGATGTTAACAGCGTTATGGGGGTATCTCATCCACCTGTTGCTCGACAATGTTTCGACAATGTCAAGCTGTTCACGGCCATTCACTCATTCACCATCCACTCTTCAATACGCCAAGCCAAGACGTGGCGCAGCTAGTACCACCTAGGTACGTCGCTCAAAGGGATCCCAATACATGGCGACGCCTCATCATGCATCCTCGACTCGTCACTCAAGAACACCCCGAGAACCCTCCCACACACAGGACATCCCCGTCCGAAATGTGGTACTTTGATTAAATCGACAATCTACACCGCTGCTGTCATACACAACTGGTCTGACAGCTGCAATTCCACTGCACAAGTCTGGCTAATCTCATGTGCACCCTGCGTCGCCCTCAAGGCATGCCATCCACGTTTCCCCATGGCCTGTCTTGATTACCCATGGTAGCCGACACGTGCGCCGCGTCCATTTGCGGCTGAGAGGTGTGTCTAGGCGCAGTAGTTCCCAGGCGAGCCAGGAAATTGACGTCCGGACCATTGTCGGCGCCATTACGCTTCGGGGCCCTGGGCCAGGTCACCAAGCTGACACGAGACGGTCCTGAAACGCCGTGCTACGGCACCGAACCCTCCGCAGCCCTACAAAGTTGCTGAGACCCTCACTTGACCTCACTTTACATCATTCAGCAAGAAAAAGCTGGCGCTTACAAACTCTTTTCGTGTTTGAACTATCTGCGACTGCTACCTGTGTCATGGCAAAGTGTTTCCGGTAAGGGTGCAAAGGTCAATTGACGTACGTTACTGTACCACGCATCAATTTCCCCATGGCCGTCGTCATGATCGGGAAGTTTGTTTTGCAATATGTCACTTTCGGATGCTTGCTTGATCCGAGGCAACGCGTCGCTTTTGTAACATGCGCGACTCTGGATCGCTGCAACGATGGTGACACCGGTCCACATGCTCGCTGCTGATCTGGTCCACATGCCCCGCCCAGACTGCTGAGCCTCTATCAGATGTGCAAAACTAGAATGACGGTCGCGGGTACCGGCTGTGGCTGTGACGAGCGCGCCCAAGGTACACGTGAAGCACCTGGCATCTGTCAGCCACGCCTTGAAACCGTCTGACGTCGGTATTTGCGCAACGCATAAAGTCCACGTACCGTCAACACAACGTGGTTGAGAAAATAGTAATGGACGTACGGTGTCTCAGCAGGCGATTGGTGCTTCTGCGCGGAGACTGATGGCACCGAGCGTGGCATTCTTGGTTCGGTGAACTGTTGCGTGATGCTGACAGTTCTCACAGCTCATCCTCCTCAGATTCACTCTCATCGCCCTCTTCTTCTTCGCGTGCCACGCCTTTTTCCTCCTCAGCAGGCCTTCTCCTATACTCCTCCCGCACAAGCGCTCTCAGGGCCTTCCTCAGCCTCTCGTCGTAGTCGACCCAGCATCTTCCTGCGCCGAGGAGCATGACCTGCTGGTACCGCTGATTCAGCAAGCCGTTCCTTTTCCGCAGCTCGGATATCTTGAGTGCTTGTTGTAGTTGGCGTTCTTCTGCTTCAGCAATGCGCGGTCGCAACACGGCTAGCTTGGTGAAGCCATCGGTGGTGGGTATCTGCTGGTCTTCGAGAGCTTGAAGCTGTGACGCAGTTGTCGCGAAGCTTGTTGCGCGTTCCGTCACCAACACAGCTTTCTGGGCGTTGTCGAGTGGGGGACCGTCATCGTTGTCGTCGTGTTGTGTCTTGAGGACATCTTTGTGCTTGCTCACTGGTGACGTTAGCCTTGGAAAGTAGAGGAGATACGGGCTGCGTACGTAAGTTGTTGGCCTCATCGAGTAGCGCAGTCTTGCCCGCGAGCTGCTGCAGTGACTGCTCGATCCTGTGTATGCGATCCGGGATGGTCTTTTGCTTGTCCTTGGTGTTGTCCTGCGGGCCGCCGAGGATATACTCCAGGCGATCCAACCGCGATTCCAGCAGTGAAAATGTGAACAGAACCGCCTCCTCGTATTCGTCCATGGTTGTGCTGGATTCGATGTTTATGTTCGCCCAGGCGTGCAAACGCGGGCGCGTACCTCGAGCGGAGCGGATGTTAATTTTAGCGGCCGCTGATAAGCCCCCGGGTTATGGGGCCTCGAGACCAGACGTCAGCGGAGCACTCCAACCCTCGCTTTTCACTATCAGCTCGAGCTCCCATAGCTCTGTCATTACATTCGCTTGCCTGTGCTCGTCATCGCAATATAGATAGCACCGCCGCCAACCCGCAACGGATGAACGCGCAATAACACGAACCGCGCATTTCGCACCCCAGAGCATGGCTTCCTACTCCGCCATCGGCCCCGAGCCAACAGACGCAGACCCCATGACTTCGAGCACCGGGTCGCTGAGAGGGCGACGGTACGATAGCCTCGTATATCTCTTATCGGACGAAAGCTGACCCAAGTAGGAGAGGCAGAGGAAAACAAGACGTCGGATTCAAGGGCCAGGCAACATGGATATCCAGTGTCATTAACCTGGCCAACACCAGTATGCCCATGCCAGCTACCCCACACAAGACCATGCTGACCGTCTACAGTTCTCGGTGCCGGCCTCCTCGCCATGCCCTCCGCGCTCTCCAAAATGGGCATCTTCCTCGGCATCTTCGTTATCGCATGGGCTGGCACGACCGCAGGCTTTGGCCTCTACCTCCAGACGCGATGCGCGCGCTACATTGACCGCGGACATGTATCCTTTGCGACACTGTCTCAGATGACATATCCGAACCTGTCCATCATCTTCGACGCTGCCATCGCCGTCAAGTGCTTTGGCGTGGCCGTCAGCTATCTTATCATCATTGGAGATCTGATGCCGGGTGTGGTTCGAGGATTTGCGCCGGGCGCTGGAGACATCACCTTTCTGGTCGACAGGCAGTTCTGGATCACGGCATTCATGTAGGTGCTGGTTATGAAGTTCGGAGTGGTGTGTACTAACCAATCCAGGCTCATCGTCATTCCGCTGTCCTTCCTGCGCCGTCTCGACTCGCTCAAGTACACCAGCGTAATCGCCCTCTTCTCCATCGCCTACCTCGTCATACTCGTCGTAGCCCACTTCCTCAAAGGCGACACGATAGCCGATCGCGGCAACGTCCGTGTCTTCGAATGGGCGGGCCCAGTCTCCGCACTCGCTGCCTTCCCCGTCATCGTCTTCGCCTACACGTGCCACCAGAACATGTTCTCGATCCTGAACGAGATAGCCGACAACTCTCACTTCCAGACCACCACCGTCATCTTCGCTTCCATCGGAGGCGCATGCGGACTGTACATCCTCACCGGCATCACAGGCTACCTATCCTACGGCGACAACATCCACGGCAACATCGTCTCCATGTACCCCACCGCCGCCGCCAGCACCATCGGCCGCCTCGCCATCGTCATCCTCGTCATGTTCTCCTACCCCCTCCAAATCCACCCCTGCCGCGCCAGCATCGACGCATGTCTAAAGTGGCGCCCCGGCGGCCGCAAACAAAGCGAAAGCAGCCCCTCACGAAACACACTCATGAACAACACACCCAAACCCGGCGCTCCCAAGAGCAACGAGATGAGCGACTTGAAATTCGCAGTCATTTCCACCGTCCTCATCATCCTCTCCTTCATCACCGCCATGACCGTTTCTAGTCTGGAGAAAGTACTGGCTTATGTTGGTAGCACGGGTTCTACGACGATTTCCTTCATTCTACCGGGGTTGTTTTATTACAAGATCTCTGACCCGGAATCTTCACACCACCAGCGTCTTGTTAAGGATGAAGACGACGAAGATGAGTATCAGAGTGGAGAGGCGGAGGGGTATGTCACGAGCGAGGGACATCTTAATCGTGATTTCAGAAGGGGCCTACTGCGTAATTTGGCGCTTGCTTTGAGCATTTACGGTGTTGTTGTTATGGTCGTTTGTCTCATTACGAATACCTTTTTGGTCGCGGCGCATTGAGGATGTTTCGATCTTGTTGGGTTTGGGGAGATGGTTGTTGCATTTAGCGGGAGTTGTTTGCTTGGGGGCGCATCTATTAGACTGGATGAATGGGTTGGGTGCTGGAGTCAAGTCGATGATAGTGTCGACGGTTTTGTTGTATTCTTACGGGTTGTGCAGGTATATGTGTAGCCTTGTGGTAGTTTGGAGCGAAATAGTAATCGTACCGCTCTTTTCCAAAACGTAGTTTCACAATGTCGTCTTCTTGTGTTGATGATCTAGAGCGTTGCTTGAGAAATGGAGTTTGCATGTAGAAGTTTGTTGTATTGTTACAAGTTGTACATTTCAGTTGTAGCCCTCGTGAGCTAGGATAGAAGACTAGAAATACCTTCCCTCATAATAGTCTCTTCCACGCTATGTCTTCGTGCGCTGAGCTTCTTGTGCATACGTTCCTTGTTCAGAGCCAATCTCAGATTGTTGGGTTGCGCATCTTTCATTCCTTCTTAGATCATCTTGAAAATCGTCTGGGCTGAAGCCTCGTACCGCAACCCAGCCAATTGCTCTCGCAACGTTGTGCTCGAACGCTGATGTGTCCAACCACCTAGGGTTCGATCTTCCCCTCCCTTCGCTCTACGCACGTTGCACGAGACCTCGCATCCACACTCAGCCACCTAAGTAGCAGCCGCCGTCTCCTTGGTCCCGCCCTCCAAATTCTCCACCACAACCCCCGGCTTCCCTCCTGCCTCCCCTACCCCATTAATCAAACTCTTACTCGCACTCCCACTCTTAACCACCATCCCCGCAATCTTACCCACCCTATACTGCGGCTCCAGAATCCCCACCATGGACAGCAACCGCCACGCGGTATCTGAGGGCTGAGCCCCTACACCGACCCAGTACCGCGCGCGCGATAGGTCCAGTTTGATGTCTTTCCAGGGGCGGCCGTGGGTGTCGCCGGGTCGGGGGGGTTGGGGCTTTGGGTCGTAGGTGCCGAGGACTTCTAGGGGGCGGGAGTTGCGTGCTGTTCTGGAAATGGACGTGTTAGTTAGGGAGTTTTAACAAATGGATCTGAGCGATCGTCTTGAAAGATGGGCGGCGGAGTAGGCATGCAAGTATACAGTGGAAGCAGTGTTTGCGGACTCCCGAGATGGGATTGTTGGATGGAATTGGGAGACGTACCGGGCGTGTGCGACGACGATGTTGTAGAAGGGGGAGTGCTTCTTGCCGAAGCGGGCGAGTCGGATTCTTAAGACCATTGTGGGGTGTTGTGTTGGGGAGGTTTGGGCTGTTGCGACGACTGCGCGAGTGGAGCGGGCGGTTGGTTGGTGGTTTGGGTATATCTTTTTGCTCCGAGGATCTGCCGAGATGCGTGGGCACGTGCGAGGTTGGTGTACTTTGGGTTGGTGGCTGAGGTGTGTATGATTAAGTAATCTTTGCAGAGGCACGATTGCTCCCAGTTCATGAAGTCTAGCTAGGTAGAAGCTGAAGTTGACTATGTTGTGGTGGTGTGCAATCGCTGTTGCGCTCACCTCATCGTCCTCGAGCAGTGATGTAATGGCAACACCATGTCGTTCACGAATATATCTTGTGACAACCACTCTCTCCGCTTCAACATTACGCACCATATGTGAACTGAATATCTCACGATGGCTCTTCGAGTAAGTAAACTTCCAAGATCTTGGACTTGATGATGTCTACTAACCTCAATTCAGACTCTCTCCGCCAAAAGTGCAGCCGCGCTTGACCAAGAGCTCATGTCATCGGGCGCGTTTTCCATCGATCAGTTGATGGAGCTCGCAGGTCTTTCTGTTTCCCAAGCAGGTACGTTGGTACTCCATCGAATCCACTCCGTCAAGCTGACGATTCAGTCTTCAAATTACAACCCCTCAGCAAAGGCAAGCGCATCCTCATAGCATGTGGTCCCGGCAACAACGGCGGCGACGGACTAGTCGCAGCCCGTCATCTGTTCCACTACGGCTACCAACCTACAATCTACTACCCAAAGCAGAGCAAGAATGAGCTTTATCAGGTATATACTCCGCCAAGTACCGGGGAGAATCTATCTGACCCTCGGCCTCCACAGCGCCTCAAGAAACAACTCGAAGACCTCAAAGTGCCATTCACAGAAGACTTCACGTCCGCACTCAAGCAAACCGACCACATCGTCGACGCAATCTTCGGCTTCAGTTTCTCCGGCGAAGTGCGCGAGCCGTTCCCCAAAGTCATCGAAGCTCTAGCATCTACTTCTGTCCCTGTTCTCGCCGTCGATGCACCTTCATCATGGGATATCGAGAACGGACCTCAAGATTCTGGGCCTGGCAAGGGCTTCATGCCACCAGCTCTCATTAGTTTGACTGCACCTAAGCCGCTGGTCAAGAAGTTTACTGGGAGGCATTTCCTTGGTGGCAGGTTCTTGAGCCCGGAGATGGCGGATAAGTTTAATCTTGATATTCCAAAGTATGAGGGCTTGGATCAGGTGGTTGAGGTGCCGGTTGAGGGTGAGAAGCTGTAAACATCTTGCAGAATAGCTTAAATGCTACAGTACGATGTTTTTTCGCGCATCACGATGCATGGTCAAGTGTTTTGGTACCTGCTCGATGCGACACTAGTGGTTTCCCCGCAGAGCCGCGGTACGGCTAACAGCGGTCTTGAGATGTCATCCGAACCCCAGCTTCAACTGCGCTTCGGCAAACAACGAGCTCAATTTCCTTCGAAGCGGAAGGCCGGAAACTTCTTGCTTCTCTTTTGTCTGCTTTCTTTTAGCGGTATAATCGAGCTGTAACTCACCGATACGTTTCGCATACCACTACACCCTCAATCTCGCGTCGTGAATACGCGCAAAGCAACTTCCCCCCACATACACACAGAGGGCTGTCTGGACTGCTGAGACCACCCAAGCGCTTATCTTTCCAACTAAAATGGTTCCAAGAGCGCCCTCAAGAGAGGCTTTGACCTTGCTCAAGCACTCGGTACGACCCTCAGTAGTTGTCCGATCGCAAACACAACGCTGCCTCCTCTCGTCCACTTCGCGTCCTACGCCAACATCGCACACCCAATCGCGGGTCACTCCACAAACAGTTCGCAATACTGCTACTTTTACGCATTCTCACCATGCCGAAGCCGTGTCTGTGATCCCCACGAACGTCGACACAAGCAATGCGGACTTCAAAGAGAACAAGCGCCAAATGGACGAGGCAACCGAGAACCTCGTCAACCTGCACACGAAGATCGCGCAAGGTGGACCCCAGAAAGCTCGGGACAAGCACATACAGCGAGGCAAGATGCTGGTTAGAGACAGAATATCTGCTCTCATTGACCCGGGCACGCCATTCCTCGAACTGGGCCAGATGGCAGGTTACAATATGTACGGAGAGGATGATGTGCCTGCAGGCGGTATCGTCACTGGTATCGGCACAGTTAACGGTGTGCAATGCATGGTTGTCGCCAATGACGCTACAGTCAAGGGAGGCACATACTACCCCGTCACAGTGAAGAAGCATCTGCGAGCCCAGACCATCGCTCAAGAGAACCGGTTACCCTGCATCTACCTCGTCGACTCTGGAGGTGCGAACCTGCCCAACCAAGCAGATGTGTTCCCAGATGTCAACCACTTTGGCCGCATCTTCTACAACCAAGCGCGCATGTCGGGCATGGGCATCCCGCAGATCAGCGTTGTCATGGGACCATGTACGGCAGGTGGTGCTTATGTGCCTAGCATGAGCGACGAGAACATCATCGTGGAGAATCAGGGTCACATTTTTCTCGCTGGCCCACCGCTCGTCAAGGCAGCGACTGGCGAGGTGGTATCCGCAGAAGACTTAGGTGGAGGCAAGCTTCACAGTGAGGTCTCTGGTGTTACAGACTATCTCGCAGTCGACGACGCGCATGCACTTGTCCTTGCGCGGAGGAGCGTTGGCAACTTGAACTGGCACCGCAACCAGACTGTTACTTCGCAACCTACTTTCCAGGAGCCTCTCTACGATCCCCAGGAGCTCTCAGGCATCGTGGGTACCAATCTGCGCCGTCAAATCCCCATTCACGAAATCATTGCACGCATCGTCGATGGATCTTCTTTCGACGAGTTCAAGCCATTGTACGGTTCAACTCTGGTGACTGGTTTCGCAAAGATATACGGCCACCCCGTGGGTATCGTAGCCAACAACGGCATTCTCTTCAGCGAGAGCTCGCTCAAGGGCGCGCACTTTGTCCAGCTGTGTGGCAAGCGACACATTCCCCTCATCTTCCTCCAAAACATTTCAGGGTTCATGGTCGGCCAGGACGCCGAGAAAGGCGGTATCGCAAAGAACGGCGCAAAGCTCGTAACAGCAGTAAGCTGCGTTGACGTACCCAAGTTCACAGTCGTCGTCGGATCTAGTGCTGGCGCTGGAAACTACGGCATGTGGTAAGTCTCCTTCCAGTCCCACTCCTCGACACAACATTGCTAACACAAGCACAGCGGCCGCGCGTACTCCCCACGCCTTATGTTCACCTGGCCCAACGCAAAGACGTCGGTCATGGGCGCAGAGCAGCTCTCGTCCGTCATGGAAGCCGTGGGCAAGAAAGTGGATCCCGCGCTAAAGGCACGGATCGAGCACGAGAGTGAGGCCACCTTTGGGTCGGCAAGGCTATGGGACGATGGTATCATACCGCCGGAACATACACGGAGGGTGCTTGGCATGGGCCTGCAGATGGCGTGCGGTGGACAGAACAAGGGCGTGGAGAAGGAGAGCACTTGGGGTGTGTTTAGGATGTAAACGCAAGACAAGGCTTCGTAAGAGACGCGTGCGATACGCGCGTCTCCCTGTTGCTTGCTTAAAAGCATGATATTCGCGACTTTAACCAAGAATCTTTGGTGTTCCATTTTTTTCTTGCTTGCTTGCTTGCCTTGCTTGCCTTAGGGCCTGGCCTAACTTCCTGTGTACTAAGAATAGGGTCCATGACCGCAATTTCCGGACATCCCCACACATTGCACGGGACAGCGGCTTGGCAGAGGTCTTGGCAGAGAGCCGTCAAGACAGCTGGGCAGGCGGGTTCGGCCCTCAAGCACGCCTGTAAGCTTGCTTGGAAAACGCTTGTGTGAGACAGACGTTGACGTCGTAGCTTTGGAGATCGGGTTCACTCAGCCACAGATGCGGTGCGGGAGATTGAGTGTTCACCCACGTGAGAAACGAAACGGAACGAGGAAAACAAACGGTGAAGTCAGGCCAAACAGCGCAAAGTCAGGCGCCTGCGCCACAAACATTCCCTGCAGGTGGGGCGCAGGCATGCGGAATTGAGTCCAGAGGTTTCAACGCGGATACCGGGTCTTGCGGCTGCGTTGCGCAAGATACACGCAGACTGTGGGAATGCATTCACTGTCTGCATACTGTTTGTATTCAGTTAGTGGTGGTGGTGTGGCGCCGTTCGCACCGGCGCTTGCGCTGTGAATTACAACTTGACCTGCCTTCCCTCGGCTTAGAGGGAACGCCAGCTGCATGATGATTAGATGCAGGCGGCGAATACGACCATGGGATTGCCAGGGTAGCCTATGGGGGCACAGGCCCGTGTTAATCCATCAAAGTTACCTTCTCAGTGCCGCCATTCCGCTGCCCGCTATTGCCTCGACGATCGCTCCCGCCTCTCTTTGTCACGTCCGTCATCAAACGCTGGACGCCTGTTTACCACTACCACCTGCACTCACACTCGCTTTTCTGTCGCCGTTCCTCCGCTGCCACAACCTTCTCCGGTACCTGCCTCCTACTCCCCGGTCAACCTCACCACGCTGCTTGTTTGCTTGATCTTGCTCGATCTCGCTTCCTCCCCACTTGGTCTCACGCACTTGCGGGGTAGCCATTCGTTAGCATTGTTTTAGGCGCAAAGCACATGTCGAGATGAGGTTGTTCAGCCCTGCGCGAGCGCTAGCGGCGCTCTCTTTGCTGTCGACAGATGTTGTGCGACCCTTCACCCAGGCCATCGTGCTCGACCCCAATTCAGAGAGTAGGATACCCGTCGCCGTCGCATACATACCGTGCGCTTATACAGTCTGCTAACCTCACCTTACAGCCTCTATCAACGATGTCTCCTCCCAGGTCGCCAAACAGCTCGTTGCGCAATATGCGACTATCGACGATAAGGGCATCCATGTACTCGGTGGTTACCCGGGTATCCTCTACGAACCCTACTACTGGTGGCAGGCGGGCGCCATGTTTGGTACCCTCCTCGACTACTGGCACTACACCGGCGACGATCAGTACAATGAGATGGTCCGCGAGGGACTGATACACCAATTTGGTGAGCATCAAGACCTGGTATGTATCTCAATGCGCTATCGCAAGGTCTGTCGCTAAGCCTTCTAGATGCCCTCCAACCAGTCCAAGAACGAAGGAAACGATGATCAAGTTTTCTGGGCCTTCTCCATGATCGCCGCCGCCGAATACAAACTCAAAGATCCTCCCTCAGACCAGCCCGGTTGGCTCGCCATGACGCAGTCCGTCTTCAACCAGTTCGTCGGCCGCTACCAGAAGGAGGTGTCCGATGGCACTTGCGGCGGTGGCATGCGCTGGCAGATCTATCCGTGGCTTAATGGGTGGACGTATAAAAACACCGCATCCAACGGAGGACTGTTCCATCTCGGCGCGCGATTGGCCATGTACACAAAGAACGACACATATGCGAAGTGGGCGGAGAAGGCCTTTGACTGGATGGCGAATAGTCCCATTCTGCCCGGCGACGGTCAAGTCTACGACGGAACCAGTATCAGCACGAACCCGCCATGCAGCGACGCTGACCAAACGCCCTGGACCTACAACTACGGAATCATGATTGCAGGAGCAGCATACGTAAGTTATGCACTACTTTACTTACAACCCAACGACTAACCAAGTCGCAGATGTACAATTACACCAACGGCGCTGACAAATGGCGCAACGAACTCACCAAATTCATCAACAAAGTTGCCATCTTCTTCCCCGAAGACAAAGGCGGCGTCATGGTCGAAATCTGTGAAGCAAACATAGTCTGCGACGCGGACCAAGAATCCTTCAAAGCGTACCTCGCCCGCTGGCTCGGCATTACCATGCAAATGGCCCCCGAATTCACGCCCCAGATCATGCCCAAGCTGCAAAAGTCCGCTGTAGCTGCTGCGCAAACATGCGAGGGTCCGTCTGACCACGGCGGCGGCAACCACCAGTGCGGTATGAGTTGGTGGAAGCAGGGCTGGGACAACATCAAAGGCGTCGGACCGCAGATGACAGCTCTCAACGTCATCAGTGTGTTGAATGCGCAGAGGGTGCCACCGCCGTACTCACGCGATACCGGTGGTACTTCCGAGGGTAACCCCGGCTTAGGCTCTGGAAACGACGCCGACCGATTACCCAAGTTCCAATCCGAAATTACCACTGGGGATAAAGCGGGCGCGGCGATCCTCACTATCCTCATATTCGCTTTGTTCGTCGGTGGATCGGTCTGGATATTGATGTAATGAGGAAGAGATGGAGGAGGCATGGAAGATGACGACGATGGTGGTGGTGCTTTTTTGGTTAATACCCCCCATTGTTTGGATGCATGCTGGAATGCAAGTATGATGGGATGACAACTGAGCTTCTTCATATGAGGAAGGCTTCTTCATGGCGTTTTTTAATCCAGGGCGAATGGATCGGATGGGCTGGGCTGGGATGGATTGGGAGATTCGTGTGTATATTTACTATCTGGATGAAATGAAATATGAATGATTATATTTATCGTTTACGAATATTGCTTTGTGCCAGGCGGTTTGGGTCTCGGAGATGTTGAGTATGTGAGATGAGGCTGCTGAGAACATCGCATGACTGTTAGTTGTTTGTTGCGCACATGATGTATATAGTCTTGGAACCATACAAATCAACAAGCGACAGAGCACACAGATCGACACCTATTCGATGCCTCTACACGTGCAGAGTCCTGATGGCGAAGAGACCGCCGGCCAGCGAAAGGACCATTTCGAAGGTAAGATAGCGATCCAGCAGCTACAGCCCCCGTACAACTAACTCGACCCGTAAACCTAGCCATGCGAAACCGCGTTCCACGCTACCTCTTCCGCGCCTTTGACGAATCCAGCGGCGGCGGCCGCGAATTATCCGTCATCAACGCAACCGAGATCATACCCCGAGGCTACATGAACCGCCGGCAAGTCACCGGGTTTTACGAAAAACAGGAGAAAGAACTGCATGCCATGGTGCAAGCCCACTTCTCCGCCGACGAAGACGTTCTGACTGAGTTCAGCTCGTGGGCTGCTTCTCTCCACACAGTTCTCTGCTATGCGTATACTTGCTCCCTGTCGTGTAGGGAGGTTCACGTTGCTGTGATTGATCGCGAGAGGCTGCATGGCGAGGTGAGGATTTGGTGGGTGCCGCATCTTTTGGATCCGGGTGAGTATCATGGCGAGCATGAGTATTTGGCGCATGGGTGTATCCGGGGGCCGGGATATACGGCGGTGCCCTTTAAGAATCTGATGGTTGGTGGGCTTTGCCCTACTGTCTTTCCTGAACTCACGGGTTGGGGGAAGGGGAGGTCTCCCGACTTCGGCGACGGATTGAGAGACAAGATGTTTGGGGAGGAGTTGGTCGGATACTACGACTATCAGACTGAACGTATCAAGCAAATAGGCAAGTTGTTTGGAGACCTCTCTTCGCCGGTCATGCTCGCGTTGCTGACTCTGAGGCCGCGATACCTTGCTCAAGCTTCTGTGCCTGTCAATGATGAGGCAATGGCGCAAGAAGATTTTGTGGACTGGCTGATTATAGCGTTGGACATTCAACCTCTTGATTTCGATCCCGAAGAGGAAGATTGGTGTCAGCGAGGGGTGGTTTACACACGCGAAGAGGGCGATTGGAAGGCTTATCCGGATGTTGAACAGTGGATCAAACTGCTTCGTTTGATCGGCGAGCGTCAGTCTCGACAAAGCGCAGAAGAAGAGAAGAGGAGTGGAATTGATGGTGAAGAGGAAAGCGATGTTCACGATGGAACTATGCAAGACCGGTTAACAGAGTCTGATTTGCAGGATCTGGACGAGGAAGATTTGGACGAGGAGATGTTGAGCGATGAGGAGCTGGACGATGAATCGGATGTTGAAGATTGAAGGAAGATGCGCAGATAAATTGGAGATGTAAGCCGGCGATGTTGCCGTGTCGATGTTCTATGTCGTGGATGTGTGATAGATTCTGGTGAGTACGGCGCGTTACTTCCGCCTGCAAATTGCGCTACTCCGGCTTCGGCTACCCCAGGAGAGCGCCGCTGCTTCCCCCAAACACCCCGGGGCCGCCACCTTCCAGGCTGCCATTGTCACTCACATTCACTCGCCACGACCCCAGTGCTGCGAGCAAACGTCAATGATCAAATCGCGCATCATGTGTTGATGCAAAGAACGCCTTACCGGTGGCTTTCCGAGCTGTGGCTGAGCGAGGATGTAACGCTTTGCGATAGGCGGGAGCACACAGCCCAGCTGCAGTGAGCACATTCGATGCCATCTCCTACGCATCCACTTTTTGGCTATCGAGAACTACGACAGCGCCAAGCAGGCATCCGATGTCAGATCGGCCAACGCGATAGTAGCTGCGAACCCGCTTACGACAACCCCAATGTGTCGTTCCAGCCTGGCCAGTCGGACCATTGCACTCAACGCTGAATGGCGCGTAGATTGCGAGATGGCGTCGCCGACGCGAGCTAATCTTCGCCAAAACCAAGCTTGCGACGCGCGCGTCACTCTCAGCTGTCAGACCAGCAATACTGCAGCTGCTTGATGAGCCACAATCGCTGTGGGCAGCTTTAGATGAATCGCTTGCCCAAGAACACCTCATGCATGTGTATCCTTACACAGCTATTCATCAGCTCACCAGCGCAAGAACCTCATCACCTCTGTCATTGCGAATCTTACGGAGACCAAGCCTGTAAGGTAGACAATACGTTCCTCGAGGAAAATGGCATCTGAAGTCCCCGAGTACTTCTTACCACGGAACTGGGATTATCCACCTGGGGGCCCTATCAAGCTCGGCAATGTGCTAGCCTCTCTGAAAGAGCCCCATCGTCCCCTCGCGACTCTGCAACCGGACGCCAATAGTATAATCAAGTCGCGGAAAAGTCTAGCTGCTATTGAGACAGAAGATGGAAGATCCGGCGGGGTCACGGTTATGACCACTTTTCTGAGCGCATTGCTTGGTGCAGGAGTTGACGTGGCGGTCAACGTCGAGCGGAGGTCAGTACTATCGTTCGTTGCATTAGGGAGCGTTCTTAACACCAAAAAGCACCGGCAGGACGTTCACGTTCGATGATCTGGAAACCAATTACATTGATACCACCGACGATCACAGCGCGAATGCCGAACTATCACAATACGAAGCATATATCGAGCGCTGCGCTAATGCACCCGCCGTGCTACGATACCTCGAACGGAGTCGGTTTCGCAAAGAGTTTTACGTTATAACAGGGCTGAAGACTGTGAGCGGCGCAAAATGCCTTACTACGGCGACGAATAGTACGGACGGCCTCGCAGGCGCCCAGGTCGATGGCACAATCCTTACTGGAGGAACTATCCCCGTCGGCGGCGGACTTGAGGTACATGGCGGGAGGTCCAAGAAGTCCAAAGCCTCTTGGGAAGGAAGCACTGACTTTGTGTTGGCCTTCAAAGTTAGCAGGGTAACAGTAAGCAGGTCGGGCAAGATAAAGAAAGAAGAAGAGTATCTCAAAGGTGCGTTCCTCGAACTTTCGCCTACCAAGAGTCGACCGCATGACCTCACCATAAGTCATGAGTGTCAGCTGATCGATGAGAATACCTTCAGCCCTTTTACTGTAGCGGAGGGAGAAGATAGGGTAACCTTTGGAGTGAGGAAAGACGACTGAGGGTACTCCGACCCATGTTCTTTGTGTCTAATTTCAGATCTCTCAATACATCCAATTCTGTCGCTACTGTAACGATACACATGCAACCCAAAATAAGGTCCAGGCTCATGTCCTATGCTACCCGGACTGCCTGATAGCCGTGATTATATCTCTGCGGGTGTCCTCCGGGTTCTCTCTACCAAAAATCTGAGCGGGGTTGGAGTGCAGCGCCAGGTAGTAGAACTCTAATCTTTTAGGTCCTGCCATGCACCTCAGAACGGAGCCCATGACAGCATGTCGCCTTAGCTGCTGTGCGTACTCTTGATCTAGATGTGTCCTCGCATAGCGCAGCACAAAGGCGATGATACTTGCAGCGATCGGGGTTGCAAATGATGTTCCGGACTTGACTTTGGTCAGAGTGTCACTATCATCCGTACCATCATTGCCAGGTGATTCGGACAGGTGCCCTGGCCAGCTAGATACGATAGCCTCACCGACGGTCGCGAAATTGACTTCTTCAAGCGCGGTGGGATTGAATCCGGAAGGGTTTCCGTTTGCGTCAGTAGAATGAATGCAGAAAACGCCATCATATCGGGCTGGCCATGCGCGACCCGCATTTCCTCCGCTGTTCGACGCTGCCGCAACGATATGAACTCCTTTACTTTTGGCGTAGTCAATAGCTTGCTCAAGGTCGTCGCCAACGCTCTTCCGTTGAAACCCGAACGATATCGAGATGATGTCAACCTCGTGGTTAACAGCAGAAACTATAGCCTGGGCGTTGTAAGCATAGTCGCGTTCTTTGACTGGATTATATCTCACCTTCGCGATCAGGTTACGGTCAGCTTCACCGTCAATTGTGACGTCCGCAACATAAAGGTCGGCTTCTGGCGCATATTCCAGGATGAGGCCTACGATATGTGTGCCGTGACCTTGGAGATCATTTATGGTACTGTTCTCGGCCCGTTCAAACATATCACGGGAGCTTTCGTAGATCCAAATTCTGCCAAGCTCGGTCATGATATCCTGGTGGCTTTGATCAAGACCAGTGTCGAGCACAGCTATCTTTAACGGATGGGTTTCTTCCACGGCAGTGCTTTCGAACCTTTGAGCAGTCTCGACAAACAATTCTTTCCATCTCTCGTATTGTCCACGTCTGTATTCATTTCAGCATTGTAAAGACGACTTTTTCTGGATAGCACGGCCTCACTTTAAGCTCAAGACACCTTCGGGCAAACTTTCATCATCGTAGAATGATACTGGGTTTTGGCGCGGCCATCTTCGCGGCGGTGACTGGATTCGGTAGTTAGTAATTTTTCGCAACATAAGAGAATATGACATAGCAGAGCTTACTCGCTCCTGAACTTCGGAAACAGCGTTGTGAGAGCGTCGGAGCTGGTGCAGAGGACCAAGATGGGCCTCTCTTGTTGATCGTAGGGGAATGACTTCTGGTCTATCGTCGGACGCGTCCCAATCAATCAGGTGAAGAGCCATACGCAAGGGACGAACGACCTTTTCTAGCAAAACCTCGCGTCTCGCTTGAGCACCAAGAACAAAGGCTTCCTCACTCAGTCTGGGAACGCCTTTGTATGTACACTTGTGCCTAGCCTCTACACAGCCTTTGCATAGCCGCGTAGTAGAACCATAGCATTTCATGTCATGGCGTCTACACCTGAACACAACTTTAGCAGCAATTTGTAGCCATAGATGTCTAGGGCTTACCTGTCGCACTTAGGCTTGAAAAGGTTACTATCGAAACAAGCTACAGTCGCATCCTTGTAGAGAACTCTAAGATGCTCTGCGGCTTTGTCCTTGTACCCAAAATGAGGCCAATCAGGGTCAGATGCTTCTAGACCTGAAGTGCACGCATTGTTGATCCTTTGTTCCATGGAAGACGAAGGTTGCTGGGTCCCCTGGTCCTGGAATTCTCGGCCGACGTCTAAGAGCAGAGTCCCTAGGGACAATATCCTTGGATATTTGTGCCCGACATGATTTGACTCAAAACATTCCGGGATCCTGTCTTCATCATCATGAAAGCGAACCGTGAAACTGGGTGCACACGTGATGCGTGACTGTGTTGGTGCAGATCTATCCGTCTCCAACATAAATTGTATCGAACTTGCTGACCAACTTGTACTCGTCCAGTCAGAATCGTAGTACTGCCATATCGAGCGAGCGAGCGTAAAGGCGAGGACTACCCTTCTCTTCCGAGACATCTCATAAGAATTAAGGACTTGGGCCAAAGGAATACTTTTTCTGCGTGCCAGTCTCTGGCCTGTCGTCTCTGAGTCAGCAAGATCGAGCAGACATCGATCTTCGACTTGCAAGCATATTTTGACCGGGCCTACGTCTTTCCTTAGCAGGCCACAAAATTCTTGCTTAGACATAGAATCAGGACTAGCGAGCATAGTTCTTGCGCTAGAGCTATCATCAGAGTGACAAGACATAGTCTCAAGCTCACTAAAACGGACTTCCTTCGTCGCCATTCTCTTCCTACAAGCATAGCACCTCGTCAGCATATCGCACTTTTACAGCATGCGATATCTTCTTACATAGATACCCGTAACCTTAACTGTTGCCAGTGGCCTAACGTCCCGTCTAGTTGTAGATTTGGGGAGCAGAGAGAGTGTACGTCGAAAGTTGCGAAACCATCCGAAACGTGCGACCGACCTGTTAAACACAACCGAACTTCATGGTGCCGCGCTTTGATCTCTTCCGAAGGCGAGGAGTCGCAGCTGGAATACTCGGAAACCGTTGTGTAAAGGTTCCTGGTGACAAATTGAGGTAATTCATCTAGCGTGTCCTCGTCCCCGTTTTGGGACAAATTGTGGTATAGCAGAGTGGTCTTTAGTGCTAGGGTAAGTCCCACTGGTTCATTTGTACGGAAATGAAGTAGCGCATCCTGATCCGAAAGAGGGGATTTGGCGTAATTAAAAAATCCTTCCTTAGCGTGCGTAGACGCTTCTTGACAAAGCCACGTTTTTGTATCAAGTTTGAATTCCGAATACGACTTGACCCACGTGGCAAATCTCCAACGGTTGTCTCGGTGCTGCCACTACTGCAGTGAGCGTTTGGTTTCGTCCATGAACGTCGGAAAAAACGTCACCTTGCACAACCTGGTAAGCTCGGTAAAGAAGTTGCTGTTGAGGGAGTGGGCAGTCTCGCTGGCAAGCGCCAAGACCCCAGATATGTGTGCGACCACTCTACTCTCTTGTTTCGGTCTTCCAGATTTGAGAAGTGCATGTAGAAGAGCACGGGCGATGACATGCAACCCAATAAGGGCCGCTTTCAGATCAGCAGTACGTTGACTCTCGCTCATCGCTCTGGTGTAGCATGAGACATAGTAGAATCAGAACGAGCAGATGGGCCATGTGTTGAGGTAACACTACTGACACTAGACCTAGCGTGGCGCAGAAAGAGGGGTAATGAACGTGGCTGAAACCTCATTGATATCTTAACGAATGACAACCGTCTTGAATGTTACGTAACCAGCCACGGCGCTTAGTGTCCCCTCGTCCCTCCACCAGACGGACCACAGCATCTGTATATGTTACTCATTAACACTCATTGCTCTAGAATCTATAAACTAGGTTATACCAACGAGAGAAGCGACAATGCCCGACAACCCTACCAGAGACGGCGCCTCTGCCTTCGGTAGCGAAGGTTCGGGGCATGGTCTGGGTACGATGGAGCCAAGTGCAGGCTATGCGAAAGTCGCTAGTGGTGCAAGTCAATCTGACGCATCTTCCGAGAATACAACCAACTGGCCAAGTATTTCAGACGCAACCAAGGCCTGCCGGAGTAGCTTTATGAAGTGTTTGCTGATTCGGAGCCTAAGAGATGATTGGGCAGAAGACAGATTGGCCGATTTCAAGCTCTGGGATGCCAGCGTAGGCGCTTCCAATAGCCAGAACGCATCCCTGGATGAGAGGTTGGAAGCCAAGCCACATGTTCGGAATGGAGTTGTAGACCTCTTGGTCGTGCTACAAAGTACGATCGACAGTTGCAGGGATCTCGGTATTCACGCACTCAAAAGTCAACAACGAAACCATTGTACTGACTCTAGGCAGGCCTAGAGATTGATCGAGGCCTAGAATACAAGGACTCATCTGGTGGGGAATTATACAATCTCTTGCACAGTAAGTCTACAATCGTCTTAGCAGAGCATAGATGCCCGCTCTTCTATGACAAATTCTAACGTATTAATTAGCCACTACAGTAATCGGAAAAACTCCAGATGAGGTTACTAGAGAGCTTTCAGAAGCGATTCGAGCCGCCGATACTCTCTTGAACGATCTAGCGCAGCTGAGTATCGTCATACGAAAAGCCGCTGTCAACTCTCACTATTCGAAAGCCGACAGCATCTTTCCATTTAACAGTCATAATGATCCGGATCTACAGATGCTTCGAAGACATCTTACACACATTGTACTATTTCGTCCCCAGAATCTTGAAAACAAGCGCCGCACACTCTGGGGATCACTTGGCTCTGAGATCTTCGAAGAGTCGAGACCAGAAGCTACAAGCATTTCGAATTCGTTTGATATACATGCCTGGAATGTATCTTCGATGTCTCGGGAACTAACCGCGGTACAAGAACGTCTGATAGTTGCAAACCTGAGAAGACACAATCGCTTTAAATACTCCCAGAGACACGAGATGAAGCGCACACAACCCCGTGTAGACCCCGATGTCGACTCTTCTGGTGCTGAAGCGGCGGAGCCTAACCAAAACCTTCTTAGCATCATCGCAGCTGCTCCTCATGGCACGAGTGGTTCTTCAACTGTGGATTCAAATATCCAAACACAAGAAAAGGTCGCGCAACCTCATCAGGTTGCTACTAACGTTTTATCAAATACGACTGCATCTATCCTAGATCCTAACTTACTGGAGTCGCCATCGGTGTCAATCGCTAGATCTCAACAATCGGGTACCCAGTTTTCTGAGGTTGCCTCAGCTATCAAAGCGCAATATCCTCGTCCCCCGCGTCTGAACAAAAGACTACTTGAGGTTCGATGTCCATGTTGCTGTGTACCACTACAGAAGAAAGATCTCAAATGGCATCGTTGGAGGTTCGTATATTACGGCCGCAATATCAGTTACTTGGATTGTTCTCTAACTAAGACAACAGGAAGCACATCGAAGAAGACATTCAGCCATATACCTGCGTTTTAGACGCCTGCACCGACCCTGAGGCTCTATATACAGACAGGAAAAGTTGGATCAACCATATGACTCATGCTCATAACCATCCAGAGATCTACTGGGAGTGCTCGCTATGCAACGACTCGCCTCAATTCAATTCGATCAACTCGCTTAAAGGCCATCTTACCGACCTACATGAGGGATCAATCAGGAGCACATCAGCCTTTCTTCAGACGTGCTCAAATCCAAAGCTTTTGGGAGCTATGAGTTGTCCTCTATGCTCTTTCACTGGGAATCTGGACGACATATCTGGATCGCAGCTTCTAAACCACGTCGCTGAACACATACGTTCATTCTCTCTAAGCTCACTCCCGTTGCCCTACAGTGAAGGAGATAGAGTTGTCAACGCTTACTTTGAGACCAACGCTTATTTCGCTGATAGCGATCGGGACTCTGTAACGGTTTCAGGAAGTTCCATCTCAGAGAATGAAGGTGCTGCTTGGTCAACCTCAGATGGCTCCCTCAAGAGCGACATCAGCAAAAACGAGTTGGAAGACTCCAAGAGCAAGAGAACGGACATCGCTCCTGTGGTTGAAGGTGAAAATTTGATGCAGCCGCGTTCTCAGCCACTCACGACACTTGCTCCTAGATTGGCGGAAGCCTTGGTCCCGCTGGGCAGGATGTACAGTTACAAACGTATTCCTGGCAACCAAGTCCGTCTTCTAGTCGTTAAGCCGGGAGCCTTCGATGAGAAAATCAACGCTTCGTTTCTGGCCGTTAGCGATGATGACCTCGGAAGCCAAAATTACAGGTACTCGGCCCTTTCCTACAACTGGGACGATGGCGCAGACTACAGTAGCATCATCATCCAGGAAGACCTAGCCTCGCCTCATGTTCAGTCTATGGAAAAATCGACTGAAGTACTCAGACCGGCTGTAGACAAGGTGCTCAGGATCAAACCAAATCTCTATGAAGCTCTTAGACATTTGCGACAAGCAGACATGATTCTCGGACTTTGGGTGGATGCAGTATGTATCAATCAAGACGACGCCAAAGAAAAGGGAGAGCAAGTGCTCAAGATTGCTGAAATCTATCGCAAAGCCTACAATGTGAACGTATGGCTTGGGTCCGACAATCCTGGTGGTCACATCCCCAACAAAGCCATGACCTTCATTCCCAAGATCGTTAATCCGGCCACCCACTGGGATACCCCCGCCGATGACGCTCATGTAGAAGAATGGGCAAGCGTGTACGAACTTCTCAAGCGGAGCTGGTAAGTGTTTTCTAGTTCGAACTTGTTCTCTAGCTTACCTTTTATAGGTTCTCACGGCGCTGGGCTATACAGGACCTAGCATTCGCGCAATCTGGTTCAGTACACTGTGGCAAGCAGGTGCTGGACTGGAGGGACTTGCAGATTGCCATCGGCATCTTTGACCGAAACTTCGATATCATGAAGGCTCGGCTCACGATGCATTATGAATCCACTCAGATCAAGGGCAGTCACCCGAACGGGGATCCAACCCTGGAGATGGGGCACCTAGGCGCTAAGTTATTGGTGGACATGAAATCAACATTAATCCACAAAGGACCGGACGGCACCCTGGTTCCCACCCAAGGGCTGGAGAGCCTCGTCTGTTCTTCATTGGGGTTGGACACATCTGATCCACGCGATACCATCAATGCGCTCAGAAGTATATCGAAAGAAGCGTATTGGCCAGAGTCGCGTCAGCAAGCATCTCAGCCTCCTCCTGTTCCCGATTATAACAAGGATCTTTTTGAGATATACCGGGACTTCGTCAAATGGGTTGTAGACACGACGGGATCCATCGACATAATCTGTCGCCACTGGGCATTGAGGGAACGCCAGGAACCAACTCCAACAACCCCTCAGCTAGTTCATCTACCTTCCTGGATCCTATTCGTGGAAGACTCTGCCTGGGGAAAGGGCGAAGGTCTGTTTCGCGGTCGAAAGGCTGGCGACAGCTTTGTCGGGTTACCCGGTAGTAACAGCTACAACGCTTGCGGTAGGCAAAACAAGCAAGCCCGTGTCAAGTTCCCTCGAAGTCCTGTACATCGTACGTCGGTCGTACCTTCCCGGGTCATACACGATATGTCGATGTCCGTGAATGGTGTCATGATAGGGACAGTCTCGTTCCGCACTGACCCGTTTCCCGATAGTGTGATCACCAAAGATTGTTTGGAGGATCTAGGATGGACGTTCGACAATCACGCGGTAGAAAACCCCGAAATTCCAGACAAGCTGTGGCAAACGCTCGTGGCAGACCGCGATCCGCAGGGCAACCCACCCCCTCATTGGTACAAGAAAGCATGTCTACATTGTCTTACCTACCAGACAAATAGTGGAAACCTCAACATTAGCACCATTCTACGGGGGAACCTTCAAGGCGGCCCCACTAACATCGTGTACGACTACCTTTGTCGCGTCCGTGCTGTCACCTGGAACCGATCCTTCCTTAGAGGCGACCCCATTTCTAGTGCCACCACCAATATCCGCGACTTCGACCATGAAGAACTCGTTGGCTTTGGACCACCTAGAACCGAGAAAGGAGATGCGATTGCTATCTTGTATGGCTGCAGCGTTCCCGTCATCCTCCGACCCACTCAAAATGGCTCTGGTGAGCATCTTGGGTACCTGTTCGTCGGCGAAGCTTACATCTACGGTAAAATGTACGGTGAAGCTTTTGAGGTTGATTGCGAAGAAAAGAACTTCAAATTGCTTTAATGCGAGTGAAGGTCATCGGCAATATGTCCCCTCTCGACCTGACTCCCCCTTCTTTCAATAAGCCCTCCGGCCCGGCGTCGGCTGTTGGCGTTATCCACACTTCTTGTTTTCTCTCTCATCTTCACCTCGTACATGCGCTTGGCCAGTACCCCCTCTTACTATTTTCACGATACCCTCACGCTACGACGTCACGACATCATATACCCCGCCCGAGGTTGACCGCTCGGCCCTCTTCTTTCCACCGATACCCTGGTCTTTGCTATGACATTGTGTACACTACCTGTACGGTCCGCTACAGTTCCATGCGGGACAAAATAGAGCATCTTTCGGATTGCCTTTCTTAGATAGACCATGATGTACGACCATTGTACCATTCTCCGCTCTCGATATCATACAAGTCCCGGGTCTCTCCACTCATGTTCAAACACATGGCTTTTGCGAAGCTTCTCCCCGGCTGCTGACTGTCCCAGTCTTGAGGCCATGTCTAAATCGAGCGCATTGTATATCGGCGCCTCTGCCCTTGTTTTTCCCCGCGACGCTCACTCAGTAGTAGTCGATCATCTCGGTCGGCCGGCCCAGGATAAAGCACTTCATGCTCTTGATATCCTGCTTCGTCCAACCTGAAACTGTTGATTTACCGCCTTCGCCCCAGCGTACGGCCATATCGGTATCGCCGAAGAGAGCCTCGCAGCGCGGAGTTCTACAATTAGCCTTTGTGAGCGTGTGGTCAGACCATAGAGAAGGTAGCAAGGAATGAGCATACCGATACAATTGACAGCAGCCCATGTGGGTGACAGCGCGAACTGAGCTTATCTCTCTGGAGCTGAGGCGCATGTGTTAGCACAAGCTTCATATCTCAAGATAACATAATCTAGACGTACTAATCACTGCTGATGTCGCGACACTCGTCCACCATAACGTCGAAGTAACGGCAGGCGCCTTTGAAGTTGGCCACGTTGCAGACTTGGATCTAGAGGAAAGCCTGTCAGTATCTGACCCTTGTAGTTCGGACAGAAGCGACGTACGGTCATATGCTTCCACAAGTTGTCGGACGCTTCGGCTGGCAAGGCGGCGATGTCTTGGATGCAAAAGATCAGTAGCATGAGCATGATGAGCTTCATGGCAGTAGCGGGAATGCGCATGGTGGGTGGCGTCTCCGATGCAGTGTTTGAGGAAGTCTACAACTAAGTGAGGTGGATAAGTGTCAAATGAAAATTGGCAGGAGCGGAAGGCAGCAAGACCGCGGCGTTCGAACAGCCGTGTTGTGCTTTCCTTCCGAAATGACTTCCGCTTCGCCCATACCGACTTCCCTAGACGACCCTCCGCACTTTCCCCGAAAGCAATGCGCAGCGCTGATAGGCGGTATGCGTCAAAGCGCCGTGCGCGTGACGTACTCCGGACGTATGATCTTCACTGCGAGCTACTCCGAACGCTGTATAGTGCCAGGTTCAAGGCATCACTTCCTTCCCATCTCTGTCATCGGACACATCATCTCTTTCCTCATCGGCGTTATGACACCGTTGATACTAGTGGACTTTTCTGAGAACTCGGAATCCAGCCAGTGAGTCTCGAACTTCGAAATGTGGATCTCGATAACGAGGACGTTGCGAGCGCCCCGTTATCTTCTGGAATTTGCGGGTTTCCGTGCGTAGTCTAAGTCACAAGAATTAGTTTTAGACTCTCAGATCACCAGCAAATAGACACGTACCTTTGCTGTCGAAGCATGGAATGAAGGGACTGTGTGCGACGGTTCTGTCTTTCCAGTTGAGATGCTTGCTCACTTTCCTAGCATTGAATCAATAGCAGTAATCTATGAAGTAACGATCGTTTGCTCTGAAGCCGTCTTCGGGATGAAAATAAGTAAATAACCCATCGTGGTAGCCCCGGTAGAGTTTCCGAGGCTGTCGCAGTACGGGATGCGTTACCTGCATAGGGTCGGCAAGACCATGAAACCTGTTCTCCATTCTCTCTGTCCTCCAGAAATTGGCGCTCAAGTAGGTGATGGTTGTACTTTTAGATGAGCGGGGTGCGCTGTCTGTCATGCTCATTCGGCCCATCCATCTCAGAGCATCTCAAGTGCTCGAGTGCACTAGCCCGCAGACACTAGACCGCTTGCGGACAGCTCAGCGTAGGCAACCATCCGTTGTAGCAAGAACGCCATCGCGATGTACCTCCAATGAACTCACTTGCGACGACGCCACTTCGTTCCAGTTTACCATCCGGCTGTTATTCGCTCAACTTGCAGGTGCGCGCTTCCAGGACCCGACCCAGTATCGTACCCAAGGGCCCGTGGACCACATCCTTGAACTGGGACCTATGCGCGACCCGTCACGGCGAGATACGCGTACCTTTTCGACATCATGTTCGTCAGGGAGAGGAAACGATGCATTCCTCACTTAAAACTTTCGAACACTTCTCACGCCTGGCGTTGGAGCTTCAGCACCATATGCTGTCGTTTTGCGACAAAGCAACGCTCTTCCAGCTCATGCGTGCGTCACCTGTAACACGGAAAGAAGCAGCAAAGCTTTTCTGGTCTGATCCCACGGTACAGTATCGCATACAGGGCTCTTGGGTACTTTCTGGCGGATATTCGGGCCTCACACATGCCGCTCTCGAAGCTCACAAGTACATGCAGTACATCATCGTTGAGCTGTTGAATTCGAAAACGACCCTTCATGGTGACTGGGTGGATCTCACACCGCATTACATCAAGTTCCTAGATGAGGAAAAAGCGAGGCTCTACGCGGAACACCAGATAGCTGCGTTCTGGAGGACACTGCGCGTATGGTTTCCCTCTCTTATAAGCGTCGAGTTTAGCACAACCCTTATTCTCGAACCCGAAGAAGAGCCTCTGGAGGCGCAGACTCAGCTGGCAGAAGGATGCCCGAATGGGGTCCACGTACACGCATCGAATTTCCATCTTAATCCCATTGATCCCAATCGTCCCAGGTCGAGAAAGCTTTGGCGAGCGATCAAATCTACCGATAAACGAGTATCTTGGGAGCTGACCGAGCCCTTACAATCAATGCAAGTCGTAATCCCACCAATTCAGGAACGATCTGGACCTGTGGGTAAATGGTGGCGTTGGCTTCACGACAAGATGGAACCCTGCACATATATGGTCAACGCCCGGAAGCTACTCTTGATCCAGGCTACCGAAGCATACTATCAACATACTCTCAAATCACCATGTGTATGCCCAAGCGCCAATTGTGGTCTTCAATTCGAAGAACCAGGCCAATGGACATTGCACTACGTATCAACCGACGAACAACTACATGAAAGTGCTGAACTACGTCCACCTCCATGCGAGATGCTTCGGGAAGCGTTTGCAGAGCATGACACGCGTCTAGAGCGCATGCGGAAGAGACACAAAGAGCGGCTGGCCGAGATGCGCGCCGAGTGGGGTGACGAGGGAAGTGAACAGCGCATGCACGTCACAGAGAAGTTCCTACAGCAGTTACGCGACGATCCATTGTGCTCAGTTAGAAAGGAACCAGTGAAGAGTCGTTTCTGGACGCAATATAAGAGCATGATGAACACCAAAGACCGTTCCATGGTACTGCGATGACGCAGAGCGAAACTAGCCACACACAACTTCCGCAACATCGACGACCTAGACGAAGAGATATTTCCAGAAATGGGAGAAAATGCACATATAATATACTGTCCAAAGACCGTTGAAACTTGAGTTAATAACCAGACTACAACCTTTTGTATCTACCGAACAAATGCGCGAGCAAACAAGACGAGAATAACACATTCTTCAGCTTCTTTTGCACCTCCTGGGTTCCTTCAGGACGAAACCTACGGGAGAGATATTGGCAGTATGATGTGAAGAATTGTTACATCGCGGACGCTTTCCCGAGACGAAGATGCAGGAGCGCAGTCACATGATTGGCTCTCCATAATACATCCCTTCTTCGATCGCGGTCTGCGTCATTCTACTGTTGGGTGGCCAGATCGCTGCTACAGCCTTCCTCTTCGTCTCGTCGAGACCTCCATACCCACACCTAGTCACTCCTTCTTCTCAACCACCAAATTCCTCCTCAGCGCCTCCAACTCCCCATCCCCAAGCCCACACTTCTCCCTCATATACCTCTCCGCACCCCCAAACCGCTCATTCAACATCTCCAAACTCGCCAACATACTCTCCTTCCTCGACCCCACCATCCTCAACGCAGCCTGCCTTCCCTTCTCCAGAATCTCAGGCGGAAACTTCGACGTATCAGAACCTTCGCTATCCCTTCCTTGGATAATCTGTGCCATCTCCTCCTTCGATAGAGGTCGCCCGGTTGATTGCGCAAGCATATACTTCCTAAACCCGGGACTCGTCAACAAGCGCTCCACAATCTCGTCCCGCGCAGGGCGGAGGCCGAGTTCAGTGAGTTGGTACTCCTCGGCGATCTGCTCGCGCGGCACACCGAGGAAATCGAAGAGGAGGCCGAAGAAGATTCCTGTTCGGTCTTTGCCGGCTGTGCAGTGAATAAGCGCTCCTCGCTTCTCGTCCTCTTTGCCGTTGTTGCTGGTACCATCAGATGCCGGCAAAGACAGACCAGCCAGATACCGCAAAATAGTCCCATATGCCTTCCCCCCATCAGTCAAAATACTAGCATAAGCCTCGACAAACCCCTTAACATCCTCATCCATGTAATTCGCATACCTCTCCGCCAACTTCTCAGGACTATAGTCTTCATCTGAGAACACGGGTGTCCACGTGCGTTTCACACCTGCTTCCTCCATGGCTTGGATCCAGCCTGGTCTGAAATCTTGCTTGCCGGATGCATCGTCGCCGACGATGCCGGCCCATCCTTTCTCCACTTCCGGCTTGCTGCGTAAGTCAAAGACGTGGCCTACGCCGATATCGCGAACGGCGGTCCAGCCGGCGGTGTCTAGCTTGGCGACTTCGGCGCTGCGGAAGAGGATGTCTGGGCGGAGGGTGGCGCCGGAGGTGGTGGTGAGGGAGTGGGTGGCGAGGCGCAGGTTGTTGATGTTGGGGATGTGGGTGTAGAAGGGTGGGGAGGGGAGGGTGGGGTTGGGGTTGTCCGGGGATGGCATGGTAGTGTCGTTGTGATGTAGCGGTGATGTGTTGGTAGTGTATATGTGTGTATAGTTGGTTTGCTGGCAGGACTCTGCTGTTGCCAAAGTGGACTATGTCGAGGTTATATAAAGGTCGACGGATTATTCGGTGTGAACAGCTGGTACTGTGAAGGGTTTCAGTCGAAGGATACCAGGTGCCACATGTCAACGGCACAGTTGCTAATGCAAGGGGGAGCCTTCACAACACGTGTTATGTTTGAATCTTGGTTGGTACCTAGGTAGTCAGAACAACGTTCGTGAAGTGTAAACATCAGCCCCACCATCCCACTCACACTAGCCATGTGCCGAGGTGTAGAGCGGGATGACTGCACATGTCCTGGTGGTAACCACGCCGCGTAATCGAGCATCATCCGTACTTCACGCCCATAGCACACATGTCGATCGAAAAGGTTCAAGAAAACAATCTAACTTCGATTTCTGGGGGTATACATATGATCATCAACCGCAAGACGGAACCACACATCGACCAAGCCAAATGGTGGTATATTCCCTCGAAACCTATACACCCTTTCCAAAAACTTTGGAAGAAAAAAACCCAGGACTGTATAGTCTATGACGCCACAGACGCCCGCGAGACTTTTCGTAACGCACCGAAAACATCGATAACCCGTTGTGGTGACCACAAAAAGCCTATGAAGGCTTATCACAACCAATGCGACCGAGTAGCTCCTTGCGATCGCCATGACCGGGAATACTAATCCCACTTGCGCGCGAGCTTTCCCTCTTAGCTTGGCGGCGCTGGCTGGCGCCGTTGAGACGCGCAAAGGTGAGGGCATCGACGCCGACTTCCTCTTCCTTTGGCGTCATGGAGCTCATTCCGCTCTCGCCGCAGGTGGTGGCCATGTTGAAGATGGTCTTGGTCTGTTCCTGCTCGACCTCCTCGTCCTCGCCCTCGTCATCTGAGCGCAGATCCTCCGCTGCGTTGCCCATGAGCACTTTGTAGACGATCTTCGCAATGGTCGCAAACCAGATGCAGCAGAAGACTTGGAGTGTGAGGAGGAGCGCGAGGAAGTAGTAGCGAATTTGCGGGTTCCAGCAGATGGGTCCGTTGCGGTCGTTGTACGCCTTGAGTAGGTTGCCCCAGTGGTTGTTACCGCCATATGCTTCGAATTGTGAGGTGTTGGATGCGGGGACGAACGAGGTGTACTTCGAGGTGGAGTCGGCGAGGTAGCAGCCGGGTGCCATGTCGACTGGGGCGTATGCGTAGATGGACCAGCAGACCATCATGTAGAGAACGTGGCGGGTGACGACCCAGGCGATGACGAAGAGACCGAAGGCATAATCGCAGGCATTCGAGTAGCCCATGTACTTGAGGAGTTTTGCGGTCTTTGTTTGTCAGTTCTCGTGCTCAACTAGTGATTTCGGACTGCTTACCGGCAGGATGATGTCGACGAAGTCCATGATGGTCAGAATGACGATTCCGACGCGCATGTGGAAGTAGCCGTAGGACAAGCACATCAGCGCGGTCGTGAAGATGTGGTGGGTGAACATCTGCGCGTAATCCTTGCGCTTCTCCTCAATGTTGACGACAAGAAGCTGCTGGACCCAGAAACCCCATTGGACGAGGTAGTACCACTTGAAAAGGCCGTCTGCCTCACGGAAAGGCCAGCCTTCCCATATGCCATGCAAATCTAGCCAGAACTCGGAGTGGTACATGATGTACTGTAGCCTTGTTAGCACTGCCAATCCATATGTTCTGTGTTGTGCGACATACCATTCCCAAGGACCACGACGCGGTGTAGTAGACAATCAACCAGGCCTGCTCCTTGAACCTGTCCAGGCCCTTCTTTGTCCTGATGCCACCCAGCCTTGCCAGCGGGTCGAGCAAGTATTCCATGACTGCGACGCGTACACCGGTGAAGATGACGGTCCACAGTAGGACAAAGGGCAGATCGTCGGTGCCACAGCCGTACATGTTGGTGTCGGGGTTGTAGTACGACATATGGAAGAACTTGTTGGTCCGGCTTCGGGCGCGGGGGAAGAATGTGTGGGTGAGGACGAGGAGAGTGAGGAGGTTGACGGAGATGCCTGTGGGAGTTAGTCTCATGATGTTCAACATTGTTGAGTCTTTGCGAGATCATACCAATCTGGTGGTCGCAGATGAGGGTGCACAGCGAGGCCATGAGCCCCTCATCCTCGACCTTCTTTGCCTGCATCTTCCGCCTCTTGGGCGCAGTCGGTAGCTTTTGCGCTTGCATGTCCGCCGTGTGCGTCTTTCCCAGCGCGCCGTTGGCGATGTGTGTCGTCGCCATGGTGGCTGGCTGCAATATGCCCCAATGTGGGGAGCGAGAGAGTGATGGAGCGACGCTGTCGCGATACCCGCTGTCTCGAGGCGGTCCGATAGAGGAGCCAATGGCAGAGGAATGAATTCCAGAGAGTGCTTGCAGCCCGGCGACGGTCTCCGGAGTCGGTTGCCGGCGTGTAGTGCGGCGTGTGGGCTCGAAGGGCGTCGTTGGTTGTCGCTCAACAGTCACGTCTTAGCGAACGGATTGGGGTGCGTGTCTCAGCAACCAACAGCCATTGAGCAGCGAAACGGGCGAAAGAATGGGCGCTGACTGTCGTCGATGCGTAGGCGAGGATTCGGCGGGGGAGAGCACGATGCGCCCGGGCAGAGTCGAGTCGAGGGAGCGGTGTGGTGGTCCCAAGCAAAGATATTCAGGGTTTAGAGATGGATGGGGCAAGCGCGGATCAACAATCTCCTGAGCGGGCCACGCGAATTGCACCTTTGCCTGCGTGCCAGCTTGGAGTCTGGGTGAAGGATGGCACAGGCGTGTCCAATTGCTCTCCCTGTATTTCTGGACAGGTGTCGCGGGAGCTAGCAGTATTCGCTGTAGCAAGACAAGTGTCTGGAGCGCGCTACGAATCTGCCCACTTCAAAAATGGGGCCTCGCCTAACCCGACTGCAGCATGCGCCTAAGGGTGTAACGCGAACAAAGACAGGCAGTGTTGCATTGCGCGAAAGGAGGTGGCAAGCCTATATGAGAGCTCAGTCTCGTCCCCGTCTGCCCCTAACACGGCCCTGCACCCGTTATCGTCGAGTTCCTGCGAGGGTCGGTTTGCCAAGACATCCGCCGACGAAGCTTGGTGCTCCGAAAATCAAGGGTCCGGGCGTTTCACCCTCCCGACCTATCAACGCGCCCACGCTCCCTGCAGCCCCATAGTGCTACCCCGCCATGGCCTGACTGATATGCATGCATAGCTATTGGATGCTGCATGCTGTTAGAATGGCGCGTCGAGTCCATCATGAGATGGAAGAGATGTCTTCACCATACAAACGCCGATTCTCTAGCACTTGCTTTGGATACGAAGAGAAGTGTAAAAGTGGTATTATACAACTAAAGCTAAGTAACATAGAGTACGATAATCAATACCCAGCTCCTTACCCACACACTCCCAGCATAGTGATATCAATACCCATAACGCCGTACAATTTCTCCCGAGTGAATCTACAGTTCCTACTACATCCTCCCGCCTAGTTGTTGTTCTGCGAGTTGAGGATCCTCAGGATGGCGAGGAACAGGTTGATGATGTCGAGGTAGAGGGAAATGGACGCCGCAATCTCCTCCTCAACGTGGTAGTGGCGCATAATCATCTGTGTGTCCACCAGGATGTAGCCAGAGAAGATGAGCGCGCAAACAACGCCGTATCCAAGCTCAACCGAGCTGCTGTGGGGGAAGAACATGGACATGAAGCCGAACAAGACCACGACCCACAGCGCGCCAAACAGGTACGGTGCCCAGTGCGTGAAGTCGTACTTGCTCTGGCAGGCGAACAGGCTCAGCGCAATGAATATGCCCAGTGTGAAGAAAAGCGCCTGCAGCACAATCCTGGAGTCGGTGAAGGAGACGATGACGGAGATGGAGTATGCTTCCATGGCAGTGAAGCCGGCGAGGAAGAGGAGGTTGGTCGGGTACGACTTGCGCTTCCAGAAGGTGAGGCCGAGGAAGACGAAGGAGCCGATCAGCGACACCCACATGAGCGCGGGCGTTTGTTGGATGAAGTTCTTGTACGATTCCGACATCATCGAGAGGGCGCTGACGGCGGCGGTCGCGAGGAGTTGGACGGTCCTGTATGGCATTAGTACATGCGACCTATGTCTTCGAGGCGTGGATACTTACAAGATGGCGTAGACCTTGCGGATGAAGGCCATCCGGATGTCCAATGTCGCCTCTGCCACAACGCCGCCAAACTTGAAGTCATCGGGCAGGTTGTCGTTTTCGCCGCGGGGAACGCCGCTGAGGAGGGCTTCTTGGGGGTCGTTGGCCGCCTGGTAGCTGGGTGGCGCCTGCGAATAGGACGGCGCAGGTGCCGCCTCGTCGAGCGAATCGCGCTGAGGCACGTTTTGGTATTTGGGTGCACCCATCGTGATGGATTTGTCGCAAAGATCGGGTGTGTGCGATGCGAAGTGAGTGGTTTGAGTGCGCGTGAGTGGAGGTGGAAGGATGAAGGTTAGGTGAGATGCGTTAGGGCTGTGCTGACTTGATGAGGTCACAGCCGCGGAACTTCGTTTCACGTGCCCGCGTCACGATCAACTCGCAACTTCCAGCTTCTTCCACCCCGCCTACCAATCGCAAACTCCCATCAACATTTCGGACTCATCATGGCGAGATTTTGCGACAATGAGCGTAGCCTGGTGATGCACGGCACGCTCAATCATCGTCTTTCCACATGTATTTTCGTATTGTCTCAGCCGCACACGCCGGAGATGCATGCACCATGACCATCACCAATAAGGTGATTCCAATACGGTCGGGCAACCACACTGGGGCCATTTCCAAGACCGCTACCATGGTTCTGTTCTCAGCCTTGTTGCGATGCACCAGTTCGATAAAAAGGCATGCCCGCCTTTCTCAAGCCTTTCTGTTCGGTCCCTCCATCATTATCATCACATTGTTTGAGTGCAAATGTTGGATGAATCTGGAATCTCTTCACAGGCACCTTTGCTGCCCCCTTTGAGTGTAGATGACGAGCGCTTCGGCGACACCCTGCCATCGTCCATGCTACAGCACCGCACTCGCACAGTTTCGCCCCCAGGCCTCGAACATAGGGAAAGCGAATCACTTGTGTTCAATCACGATCAGTACACGGATAGCTTCATTCGTTCTTCTAGGTAGAGATCTCTACACGATCGTATGTGGACGTAGCTAATGCTTTTAGCGATATACAAGGCAACATGACTGTCGATTTTGGCCATACCGATATTACTCCCAAGCAGAGCTTTTCCCCTTCGCAGTCACGTTCACCCAACAACCCCCCAGACGCTCTCGATTCCCGAATTATGCAATGGGTTCGGGGTAGTCGCTTCCATGGGTGGCGGATGGGTGTTCTCTTTGGTTGCTGTATGTCTTCTTTCGTCCTGTGTTGCAATATCGCCATGATCGTTGTCGGAGCCAGAAGCGGTGGCGGATACAACACATCGGGGGTAGCCGACCTCAAAATTGGCGACGAGGCCACGATGTCGAGATGGAACACGGGCTTGCACGTTCTGATCAATACTTTCAGCACGATACTTTTGTCCACGTCCAACTACACAATGCAGGTTCTAGGGTCTCCAACTCGAGAAGACGTCGATGCAGCGCACGCCAAAGGACAGTGGCTTGATATCGGCATACTAAGCCCTCGTAATCTGAGGGCAATACCTCGAAGGCGTGCGATGCTCTGGTACACGATGGCGCTATCGTCCATTCCCTTACATCTATTGTACGTGCCGAGCAATACGCTCCAAGATGCTCTAACTAATGGCCAACAGTTACAATGCCGCGGTCTTTAAGGTGGCTACAAACTCGGAATACAACATCTTCACTCTCGATATCACGTCAGACGAATGGCGGCACATCAGCGCCACTACAGATGCTGGGCAAACACCGGGGTCGTACTGGAACGTATCAAAAGGCCGATGGAACAAGGTCTACGACAACAAGTACTCCTCCACGTATGGCGATCTTTACCTAGGAGTGGATCGTGTAGCATTCGATACTACACAATCCCTCTCAGACTTGAACACGACTGGAGCACTGTCACATTACTTGGGTCTCAATGTGACTGGGAACCAAGGCATGATAAGAGAGCTGACTAAGGAGTCACCTGTATGGATACGATTCGAGCCGGTGTCCAACAATCAGACTCTGGGCATGAACGTCTCAGCACACGTAGCGCAGGCAGCTTCTGCGAAACCGACTCTACACAGTAGCGTGCAAGTCAGCCTCTACTTCCTGATTGTTGTGGTTACATTCGGCCTACTCAAACTCGCTGTAATGGCGATTGTTCTGGGCACCGACCGATCTGCCTACTGAGTCACTCTGGGAGATGCTGCAGCGTCGTTTCTCAAGCGTCCAGATCCGCATACTGTCGGGAGATGTACGCAGGGTCGAGAGGAGATCTTGCTTAGCATTGGCCACTCCCCAAGTCATGGCTGTTCCGATAATGAAGATACTCCTGAGCTTCGCAGCCGTTTAGAGGGCTATTGGCGTCCGTCTCCGGTACGATACTTCTTTTCAGTCCACCATGGAAGTAAGTTCATGTTGGCATGTCTGTAAGTCATCTCAACGGAGCCTTCCAGTCCCCGCTAATGTTCAAGGTCTCTTTTCACCATAATCTCCATCTCGGTGAGCCCACTCCAATGGCCATGGGGCCAGACCTGGGGTTGGGGAACTGCTTCGGACGACTACATATTCAGTTCGAAGAGCATATCCCCCAGAGCTACCCTATTGAATGCTTGGCTTGCCAATGCGCCACAAATCGTACTCTCTGTCTGCTACTTCACCGTCAACTTGGTGTGCACATCCATGGCTGGCGCCGAGGAGTGGAACCGCCTTGCGACCCATAGGAAAAGCCTCCGAGTCACTCAACCGTATGGTCAGCAGCGAAGCACCTACTTCTTACAACTACCTTACAGATGGAGTCTTCCGCTTATGGTAATTAGCGGATCGCTCCATTGGATCCTCTCGCAAACCATCTTTCTCCTTCGTGTCGACTCTTTCAACAGGGACGGGACATCGCAGAACTCTTCTATATCAGCTTGTGGGTTCTCGTACTTGAGTCTCATTGTACTGCTGTCTGCTTTTGTTTTGCTACTCGCTGGTGTGGCACTTGTGGGGGTTCGGAAGATGCGAATGGAATTACCTGTTGTAGGTTCATGTAGTCTCGCGATTAGCGCAGCTTGTCATGTTTCTCCCAGCGAGGTCGACCCGCATCTAGCGCAGCTACAATGGGGAGTTGTAGAACATGAAAGGGTGAGGGGTTTCAGACACTGTGCGCTGTCGTCTAGGGATGTCACGCCGCCGGAAGAAGTTACCAGGTATTACTGAGCGTTCTTTGCCAGTCCACGGACTATCAGTTCATAGCTTCACCACGTATAGAAACATCGAGGTTTCCTAAGGAATATGTCATATTGAGCTCGGATAACGCAATCAAGTATACCAAGTAGCCTCCGGAATCTCATCCAACAACTCAAACCTCCCCAACTCGCGATTCTTATACGCCACAGGATCATGCAGCGTATGCGTCCTCACGTCCCTCCAAAACCGATCCAAGCCCACCCTTGCGCTCGTTGCTTTCGCGCCTGTGACCTCAAACACCCCAGAAGTAACCTGCAGGCTTGTATCCGTTGTAACGACCTTGACGCTCGCAACCCATTCCGCCAGCTCGCCTCGCTGCCGTGCAGTCAGCTTCCCGCGGGTATTAAGATCGCCGGCGTATTTATTTAAGATGGCATCGACTTCTTGGCCTGCGCGGTCTGCCAGGGCGGATGCGGCGCGGAGGTGGGCGTGGAAGTTCCCGTAGCGTTCGAGGATGTAGAATTCGTCTGTGGCCTTCTCCTTGTTCTGGTTACACGTTAGCGATGTATATCGGCTTGGTAAATGCGGGTGTGCTTACATCGCCACCGAATGGCCATGCCCGAGTTCCCTTCACTGTGTACTTCGCTGCGTATCGTTGTGCGCCAAGCGCAATGCCCAGGTAGAAGTTGCTGAAGACGAGCTGAATGGTTGGCAGTAGGAGTGTCGCGAACGGTATCTGCAGCGCGCGGGGATCTGGTTCTTTCTTCTCGATGTTCCAACCCAGCGCATCCGTCCAAGGCACGCGCACGTCGGAGATCTTCACACTGCCCGACTCCGTCAAGCGGAGGCCGATGTTGTTCCAATCATGTCCGAATTGGATGCCCGGTTGATCCGTCTTTGCAAAGGCGAAGATGTGGTTCCCGGTGCCTTCGTATACGCCTTCGAGGACGGTGAGATCGGAGACTACACCACCTGTGTTGAAGAACTTGAAGCCATTGAAGACGAGGTTGTCGCCGTCGGACTTGATGGATAGGTCGCTGTCGCGGGGATTGACGGCGCCGCCAATGAAGTAGTTGTTCGAGATTATGAGCTTCTGGAAGCGATCGGCTTGTTCGGGTGAGCCAACGATGTTTGCTGTGGTTGACCAGAGGAGGTGGTAGCCGAGGAGCATGCCGATTGACCTGCGACAATTAGTATACATACGCACTCGGGAGGGGAACGATCGTACCCGTCTGCTTCAGCGACCTTCCGGATCGCCTTGTAGCCCACACTCCAAGGCTGACCACCGCCACCATACTGCTTCGGCCCAAGGAGCTTCAATAATCCGGAATGCTTCAGTAGCGCAACTTCCGCACGTGGAGACTTGTTCTCTTGATCTCGGACGACGGCATCGACAGCGAGGACATCGGCCACATCTTGAGCACGCTGTAGCCAGCCTGCTTCGTCTTCCGGAATAGAAGACCACTTCGTCTCATACCCAGCATAGACAGCCGGGTCTCTGAAGTCGACTTGCTGCGCATTTCCGGACTCGCTGTTAGTTCCATTCGTGATGGCCATCGTGTAGATGGACAGAATGATGACATCTCGACATCTCGATTACGATCTTATATCTAAACCCCGCAGAACATCCCTCGGAATGATGAGAATCACGCAGAGTATTGCGTGCTATTTGTTCATTCTTGAGCCATTCGCATTGGTGCGCATAAACACCTGAGTAGGTTCACGATGGCGATGAGAACGACCGGAGAGACAGGGATATATCGCCGACATGGTGAGCGTTGAGCTGTCTGCCGGCAGGCAGGTATAGCTAGCAATAGTCCGATACCGTGGGGGTGGATCGCACGATGCAGTGTCGGTACAACATGTGAATGTGAGTGTTGGAGAGTGAGACGCGTCGGCGGACCGCACCTGCATCATCCCATTTGTGCTAACCCAGTACGAGACTAGTCTGCAACCCGTGCGCACGTCCGAACGCGAACCGCGTTCGCCATCTAACCCCTCAATCGCATCATCCCCAACTCCGCACCATCACGGCGCATCAACAATCCCAGTAGACTGCGCACCTCCGAGGCACCTTCCGTCACCAGCATGCGAGCTCTGTTGCCTGTAGATCACTCCGCCTTTCTCTTCGCGAAGAACCGGGAAGTGTCGCCGAGTGGTAGCTCAACGATGGAGTCTTTGAGCAGCAACGCGAACGTCAGATACCACCCGGTCAATCCAGCCAAGAAACAGAACGCACCACCGCCTTTCTTGAGACCGACGGACGAGGTCGGGTGTCCATCTGCCGTGGCAAAATAAGACGCCGAGACTAGCAAGAACCCTAGTTCGACACAGAAGAAGATGATGATGTAGACCAGGTTTGTCGGCAACGAAGCTACGAGGAATACCAAGGCGAAGACCGTCCACACTGTCACACGATTAGTTGCAATCTCACCACTTGTCGGTCTTGAGCAACTCACTGATCATGAAGAACCCGAGAGCGTTGTTGTATTGCTTCACATCGCCACCATATGCTGCCTCAACCCCGAAGGCAGGGGTCAAGATCGCACCAAAGCCGGCGTAGAACAGTCCAAAGGCACTGAAGACAGTATACGCGAAACCATTACCGACGGACAGCTCCCACTGTGCAGTAACTACCAGGCCTAGTGTCCAGTCAGCCAAAGCATACACACATCGTCCATACCGGTAACTTGCCGAACGCCGCCGCAAAGAAGAAGTTGGCGACGAAGACATTGTTTGTGGTCACTCCTCGCCATTCCATGAGACTTAGCGATAGCGTGGTCAAAGTGGTCGCGAAGACTCCGATTGGAAGCGCCGTCTTGATACGTTAGTAACGAAGTATGATGTACTGGAAGCATAACTAACTCCAGCACCCAGGGTCTTTGGAGCTGCGATTGGCACGGTCGGAGACTCATGGGTGAGTTGCTTCTCGACATCGGTCGTGCCAGCGCTGCTTTTGCTGTTCAAGTCGGTCGTTGAGAATTTGGACATGATTGTCTGCGCGCAAGGAATCCTTCATACAAACGACTGGCTTTGATAGACAGTCTTTTGTACTGAATGGTCATGAGCTCCCATATTGAGAGAGACCACATCGACGCGGGACAACGGCGGTGTCGGCATGTTACCATTGCGACCACGCGATGGTAGATTACGTGCTTCGGCGTTACTTTCAGTGCTCAGTAGCGTTCACATGGTCGTGTCGGGACAATATGGTAGTGTCGTAGTCGAAGCTCGCTATCCTGGTCGATCTTGGTGTGGGGTATGCGGTGCTTGAGTATCTTGCTGCAAGTTACGGCACATCACGTCTTCGGAAGGTTGGATTGCCCCATTGACCAGTAGGCCGAAGCTTGTAAGCAGCCAATTGAGGATGCCGGACTCGTGAAGTTGTCGCAAGATCATACACCACAGCTTGTCATACACGAAGCCGAGATGTTGAGCTGCAATATAGAAGTCTGCCAGCTGGCTTAGGCAAGATCGGCGGCAAGCCGGCTGCAATCAAGGTGAACACCATCAAGTCTACTCACCGGGTTTAATCTACAGCAATCCCACAAATCCCGCTCTCGGATGATTGCATATCACGCAATCCACGCTTATAATGCGTACGTCCGATCTGCAATCGAACCCCAAGTCCATGTTGCGGGGCAGCATAGTACGGGTACTCAACTCACATACCTCCGTGTCTTCAAACTTACGTTCTATTGTATACCTCCAAACAAGCATGACGCCGCGCAAGAGACAAAAGACAGGTAAGGTTATCGGATACTAGGGCTATCAATTATGTGTAGGGCTGATAATATGTTTAGCAGCAGCACAGAATGGCACGACGAATGGCGCCAATGGACACCTGAACAAGACAGCACAAGATTATACGCCCACAGAGCAGCTAGACCTGAACCAAGATCCTGATCGTCTATTGTTCGCGTGAGTTGTCTCCCACGGACAGCCATTTGCCGCATCTCCTAACCTTGCGACACTGTAGTTACTGGGTCCCGAACGTCTCAGGCGGTCTCGTTGTC